TTTTGAATCCCCAGCTCTCTCTCTCTCTCTCTCTCTCTCTCTACACATATATATATATATATATATATATATATACACACACACACACACACACACACACACACACACGTATGTATGTGAATGCATATATATTCGTGTTTCACCTTCTGACATAAAGTTAGTATACAACGTACATTATTCTGCACTCCTTTTTATTTATAAATCTGAAATCTCTTTTGAGATTAGTGCATAGGGATGTTTAGAGAGCCACAGGTATTTGCCTTAAAATATTAAATCTCATCTGTTCCCTCTTATAGTCTCTTGGTTGTTTCAATATATTCTCATAGTAAATAAACAGTTTATGTCCATCTGCACATATGTACACTGGTAATTTTGATAGGAAATGCCAACCTGCCCTCCATGGAGAGCCCCACATGGCTCTCCTATCCCCATCCATATGAATTTATGCATGTGCTGCAAAACATTAGGATTTTGCTAATCTGACAGGTGAAAACTAGGATCTTGTAGTTTTAATTGCTTTTCTCATTCTCGTTATGAGTGAAGATTAACATCATTTTTATATGTTTAAGATCTATTTATATCTCTTTGCAACATTTGCTCTGGTCTTTTGACAATTGTTTGCTGTTAATAATAATAGTAAGACTTATGACTCTAGTTTACTGAGTCTCTCTGCATTTCTATAAGACATGATACAAAATGTAGTATTTAATGTATGGAAGTTGGGTGAAAAATTAATTCATATTTTTCTATTTTCTTTGATGAATCATTTGAAAGTCAGAAACTTCTATAAATTTGAATTAAAACAACTTTATATTGAATATTGGAAATGTTTTGCTCATCTACAATCAGCTTCACTTTCTGTGAGATGCATTATTTGAAAAACAAGCAGAGATTCCCATTTGGAAACAAAATAAGATCAGCCAGACTCAAAAAAATATTAGATTTACTTTAGATCTACTCCGTGATGCTCCTGAACTGAGCACACCTCTTTTGGCCACATTCTGTCCCTCTGTTTAAAGATATGGAACCCTCCCTGCCCTGGGATAGAAGAAATGAAGGCAAGAATCTTTGAGATCACTGAGAGTTTGGTGGGGCTGACATCCCTGGCTGGGAACTAGGCATCCCCTCCTATGGTTTCAACCCTGAGCCCCTCCCCTCCCCCAGTGCACTTGGGCAGCATTGAACATGAACAGTACAGAGAGGGAGAGCTGTGGTTTGGGGGGACACAGAGTTGCAGGGGGGACTGTTGTGGCTGATGGTATTTTATTTTCTCAGGTTTCTTTTGTTGTTGTGCTCTGTCAAATGTGGTTGATTCTTGGAAAAGGCTCAGAGTCAAACCGGCCCCTACTGGTTAGGGCAGTTCAGGGGTGGCTGGGGTGTTAGAACAGAAGGTGAGGGCAGTTAAACCACAACCAACTTTGCTCACTTTCAAAAAGCCACAGCTAGTGGAAGGAAGCATCCACCTTTCTACTGGTAAGGCATGGATGGGACCTGCACTCCCTGCTGTGGTATGCTGGGTTCTCTGGGTTGGATATGAAAAGTTTGTTATCCTTTGTGGGAGGGGGTTGGGAATCTGATGCTCAGGGTTATTCAGATATCACACCACTCCTCTGGTTTTTTTTCTTTGTTTTTTTGCTTTTGCTTTTGTGGTGCTGGGTTCCAGACAGGGTTTGAGCATACTATCTGTGCTAGGTATCCCTGAGCTACATCCTGCCCCTCATCACATTGTTCTGATGGAAAGAGCAAAAGACACATGAATCCCCAAGATAATACCAAATGTCTGTTTTTTCTCAGGTATTTAATTTAAGGATTATGGTACCTTTGGGTTAATTTTCTTAGTTTACACGTGTGAGGTGTGAGGAAAACCCATGTCCTTGAGGCCATTAGCACAGGTCTGCCTAAATGTGGACAATAGCAATGTGCTTTAGGAGCAGAAAGACATCCATAGAATCAGAGTAGTCTCTCTTCAGAGAAAAATGACTTCAGATTCAGCCTAAGTGATGCTTTACATATGACATTCACATCACATAAGTCAGTCACTGGAGTCAGCAAGAAGAAAGCAGACTAATGTTAGCATAAAATAAAAATGTCTCACCCCTCTCCTGCCCATCCATGCTGCAGAGTGGGTGCTCAAGCCCTGGACTCAATCTGTCCAGTCCCAGGGGTATTATAGACTTTCCC